GCCCACTCACTGCTTGTTGGTTTAAACCAAGGCTTTGTTGTTCTGACATAATGTTTTGATGTGGGCTGTTTGCAGCAGAGGCTTTTTAGCCTGTGTGTTTTGTTGCTGGTGAGGCCTTTGGCCTGCTCTGTATTTAGCCCTGTGGCCTGGCCTGCCTGCTCTCTGTTCCCAGTCACAGCAACAGAAGGGGTATTACATCCATGTAGACACAGCCGCTCCTATAGTTTTAATGTAAGGTTGATCAGGCCATGCATTATAATAGTATTCTCTTGTCATTTCTCAGTTGTTTCTGCATATTTCTCATCTTTCTTCATCCTGATCTGTTCACAATCTCTCCATTAATCTATCTTTCCCTTTCTCTACCTCTCCTCTCCACCTCTCCCTCTCTCCATCTCTCCCTTTCTCCATCTACCCCCACTCTCCACCTCTCCCTCTCTCCATCTTTCCTCTCCTCAGCAGCTTCCTACTACAGGTTTTCTCTGAGCAGGCAGTCTGTCTCTATGACAACTGTTAGAGTCTGGGGTTGCTGATTTGTCAACCTGGGGCAGCACAGGGAGGAGAAACAGAGATGCCACCACCCTTCCCTCCACCACCTCTCCCTCGATCCCTGCCTCCACTTCTCACTCCCTCGCTCCCTCCACCTGCCACCTTCCGCCATTCACTCCACTCCTCTCCATCTAATCCACTTCTAATTGAGCTCCAGAGACTTTGATGTGGCAGGTAGGTCGAGCCACAGCTATTCCAGGGAGAAATTAAGGCACCGCTGCCTCTCTCCTCACTTCTTCTCCCCTCTCCTCCCCTTCCCTCTTCCCATCCTCTCCTCCTCTGCTCCTGATTGTCACTGTTTTAAATGAGCATTAGCATTGGACCTAACCTCTCCAGCCCAACATCTCACTCTGCCTCCCTCCCTAGTTCCCCCCCTGGACTGTCAGTCAGGTTCGAGCTACATCCCCTCTCTGTGTGTTGTGTTTCGGCTGTTCTCTCTCGCACACCGCCCTGGCTGGTTCTCTTGTCTCTGTCTGTGTCCAGCTACACTGATAGGATGGAAATGTGTGTGATTGTAACCTGGGGAGACTAGGCCGCCCCAAGGGCTCAGACAGTGTTGGACGAGGAAGGATGGAGCGAGGGAGGGAGGGAGGTGTGTTAGGGGGATCATTCTCACCTGTCACGGAGGCCTCTCTTGATCTCCCTCGGTAGACCTGCTGTCCCAGAGGTGCTGCACACTAATGACCCCCCTCTCCTCATCCCCCTCTCCTCTCCTCTCTTTTGCTCACCCCATCCTCTCCTTTCCTCTTCCCTCTCCTCTCCTCTCTCACCCCCTCCTATCCTTGTGTTGGTGTTGATGGGTGTAACCCAGAGGCCTGTTCTTCCTGTTTTTTTACACCCTGGTTGCGTGTTGCAGACCATCTGAAATAGGTGTTAAAGACACAGTTGTGAATCTGGAGTGGGAAATAGAATGTTTAGAGACAATGGAAGTCTACAACCTTGCTGCAACATAGCACCTCATCTGTGTTTGTCACAATGTAAACCCTTTGTGTGGTCTCTTTCCCCTCCTGTTCCTCCCCTCCCTCCCCCTCCCTTCCTCTCCTATCTTTTCATCTCCTCTCTGCAGGTCCTGGCGTACTCAGAGGGTCTGCATGGTAAATGGATGTTCAGTGAGATCAGAGCGGTCTTCTCCAGGCGATACCTGCTCCAGAACACTGGCCTGGAGGTCTTCATGGCTAACAGGAGTAAGCATCACACCAGAGGCCGTAGTGCACTACATAGAGAATAGGGTGCCATTTGGGACACAGACACTCTCCTCTCATATGTGTCCTGTTTGCATTCTGATGATGATATATAATAAACTGCTTCTTAAGCACTTTAACATAGAATTAATCAAGTTTTGTTATCTCTCCTCCCAGCGTCAGTGATGTTTAACTTCCCAGACCAAGCCACAGTGAAGAAGGTGGTCTATTGTCTACCCAGGGTCGGAGTGGGAACCAGCTATGGCCTACCACAAGCCAGGTAGCACACACACACACAACCACACACACATGCAAACACACACACATTTACATTTTTTAGCTCATGAAACATTTTGTTTGGTCTTTGTCCTTTGCAATTCCCCGTCTATCTTACTAGCACCAGAGTAACATTATGTAGTGCATTGTGTCCATATTATTCAGCAGGGTGTGTATTGTTAGTCTCCCCACCTAACTCCTTTGTGTGGTGGAGGGTGGAGCCGGCCCTGGCAGCAGCTGACCCTGTCTGCAGCAGAGACATTCTAAATCCCATTGCTCCCGTCATTGGAGTGAGTGGTCATTGACCCTGACTGAACTGATCTAATTCTCTAAGTGAAGTCTATAGCACAGAGCTGCAGCCTGCCTGCCTTCTTGACCACTGGCCACACAGTAAAATACACAGAAGGAGACGGAGGACAGTCCCTTTACCTTACCTACAGCCTGTCATTAAGTACCACAAAACACACATCTATTGTTAGCTATCTGTTGTTAGCTAGTGTTAGCTATCAGCTAGTGCTAGCTATTGGTTAGTGCTAGCTATCAACTAGTGTTAACTATTGGCTAGTGTTAGCTATTGGCTAGTGTTAGCTAGTATTGTTAGCCATTCAAATCAAATCAATCTTTATTTGTCACATGCGCCGAATACAACAGGTGAAATGCTTACTTACAAGCCCTTAACCAACAATGCAGTTCAAGAAAGAGTTAAGAAAATATTTACCAAATAAACTAAAGTAAAAAAAAATCAAAATTAACACAATAAAATAACAATAACGAGGCTATATACATTTACATTTATACAGGGGGTACTGATACCGAGTCAATGTGCGGGGGTGCAGGTTAGTCAAGGTAATTTGTACATGTAGGTATGGGTAAAGTGACTATACATAGATAATAGACAGCGGGTAGCAGCAGTGTAAATAGTCCGGGTGGCCATTTGATTAATTGTTCAGCAGTCTTATGGCTTGGGGGTAGAAGCTGTTAAGGAGCCTTTTGGTCCTAGACTTGGCGCTCCGGTACTGCTTGCCGTGTGGTAGCAGAGAGAACAGTCTATGACTTGGGTGACTGGAGTCTTTGACAATTATTTGGGCTTTCCTTTGACACCACCTAATATATAGGTCCTGGATGGCAGGAAGCTTGGCCCCAGTGATGTACTGGGCCGTACGCACTACCCTCTGTAGCGCCTTACGGTCAGATGCAGAGCAGTTGCCATACCAGGCGGTGATGCAACCAGTCAGGATGCTCTCGATGGTGCAGCTGTATAACTTTTTGAGGATCTGGGGACCCATGCCAAATCTTTTCAGTCTCCTGAGGGGGAAAAGGTGTTGTCGTGCCCTCTTCACGACTGTCTTGGTGTGTTTGGACCATGATAGTTTGTTGGTGATGTGGACACAGAGGAACTTGAAACACTCGACCCACTCCACTACAGCCCTGTCGATGTTAATGGGGGCCTGTTCTGCCCGCCTTTTCCTGTAGTCCACGATCATCTCCTTTGTCTTGCTCACATTGAGGAAGAGGTTGTTGTCCTGGCACTACACTGCCAGGTCTCTGACCTCCTCCCTATAGGCTGTCTAATCGTTGTCGGTGATCTGGCCTACCACTGTTGTGTTGTCAGCAAACTTAATGATGGGGTTGGAGTCGTGTTTGGCCACGCAGTCGTAGGTGAACAGGGAGTACAGGAGGGGACTAAGCACGCACCCCTGAGGGGCCCCAGTGTTGAGGATCAGTGTGGCAGACTTGTTGTTGCCTACCCTTACCACCTGGGGGTGGCCCGTCAGGAAGTCCAGGATCCAGTTGCAGCGGGAGGTGTTTAGTCCCCGGGTCCTTAGCTTAGTGATGAGCTTTGTGGGCACGAGCTGTAGTCAATGAACAGCATTCTCACATAGGTGTTCCTTTTGTCCAGGTGGGAAAGGGCAGTGTGGAGTGCGATTGAGATTGCGTCATCTGTGGCTCTGTTGGGGTGGTATGCGAATTGTAGTGGGTCTAGGGTATCCGGGATGATGCTGTTGATGTGAGCCTTGACTAGCCTTTCAAAGCACTTCATGGCTACTGACGTGAGTGCTACTGGGCGGTAATCATTTAGGCAGGTTACCTTCGCTTCCTTGGGCACAGGGACTACGGTGGTATTACAGACTCGGTCAGGGAGAGGTTGAAAATGTCAGTGAAGACACTTGCCAGTCGGTCTGCGCATGCTTGAGTACACATCCTGGTAATCCGTCTTGTGAATGTTGACCTGTTTAAAGGTCTTGCTCACATCGGCTACCGAGAGCGTTATCGCACAGTCGTCCGGAACAGCTGGTGCTCTCATGCATGCTTCAGTGTTGCTTACCTCGAAGCGAGCATAAAAGGCATTTAGCTGGTCTGGTAGACTCGCGTCACTGGGCAGCTCGCGGCTGGGTTTCCCTTTCCCTTTCTTTTCTAGTGTTAGCTATCAGTTAGTTAACTAGTGTTAGCTATTGGTTGGTATAGTGTTAGCAATTGGTGTTAGCTATTGGTTGGCTAGTAGTTTTAGCTATTATTAGGTATTTATTGCCAGACTATGGTCTGGCCTATAACTTGACATTACGACTGTGTGAGGTCTTTTAGAAACAGCCTCCATCCAACTCTTGATTCTCACCATGTGTTGAGTTGAAGTCACATCAAGGCCTGTAGGACTCTGACACTTTGGTCATGGCTGAAGAATGCTCCAGTCTCACATGCTGATGAAGCTGTCATGCTGTGCCAGTGTGTGGTGCTCTGAGCTCTGACTGAATGATTGCGTGTCTGGGAGTGTTGGTCTTTAGCTGGTCTATGTGTGTCTGGTTGTGCACTTAGGTTTCTTGAGTACACTTTCAAACTCCTTACTTAAACCTCATTGGTTTGAATGAGCCCTGGTCAAAAGTAGTGCACTACATGGGGAAAAGGGTGCCATTTTGAAACCAACCTAAGGTGTTTCTTCCTCTGTTGTTGTGCAGGCGTATCTCCATGGCGACGCCCCGGCAGCTCTTCAAGTCGTCCAACATGACCCAGCGCTGGCAGAGGAGGGAGATCTCCAACTTCGAGTATCTCATGTTCCTCAACACCGTCGCAGGTCAGCTTCCCTTCTCCTCCCTTTCCTCCTCTCTTCTTTCTCACTCTCCTCTCTCCTCTTTTCCCTCCTCTCCCTTTCTCCCCCTCTTCTACGCTCTCTCCCCCTCATCTTGGATAGATCCATGTTGTTGTGTTGAGCAGATCACCTCTTCTCTCCATAACCAAAATCTCATCATCTATTATTCTACCATGATGAATGTAGTGTATGTTGTTGTTGACTGTTAAAACATGCCAGCCAGGACCTACAGGTAAGTTATCTTTGTTTAAGGAGTCGGATGCTCTGTTCAGTTCACTCCTAAGCAGTAGTACTGTTAGTACTGTAGGTAGCCTACACTTCACTGTTCATGTGGAGGAATATGACTGTTATTTGAAGCAAGAAAATAAGGAAAAAGGAAGCAAGACCACTGCAGATCACACATCCTCTAGGATAATTAGGGGGGGGGGGGGGTGTGGGCATATCTTTGTCGCCTCTCTTATCTGAACTGTGACTAACTGGAAGACGAGAGCGCCTGCCGCACCACTCCTCTCTGAGAGGTGTCACATCCCTCGCTCCCTTGCTCGCTGCAGATTCATGCATATTTATATTTATCTGTGGCGTGAGTTCGATACATTATTGTCATCTAATTAGATGTACGGCAGACAGAAAAACATGGTGGAAATTCATTAAAAATGTGTGGTAATGACCTGAGCTGCCATAAGTGTCAACGGAAGTGGGGTGGAAACAGGAGGGGGATGGAGGGAAGAGGGGGAGGAGAGAAGTGGTGGTGGAGGAGGAGAGGAAGAGCGGGCGAGAGGTGTTAGCGTGCAGCCAGTGCTCTTCTAATTAAACACTATTCTACTGTTATTAACATTCTGACACTTCAGAGTGTGTGTTGTGTGTATCATCCTGACACTTCAGAACAGGCTGGAACTCTACCCACAACGCACCACACCACCACCCTTGTCTCCCCCCTACACCCTTACACCCACCTCACCACCCTCACCCCTGTCTCCTCCATACACCCTCACATACAGGACCCCCCTCTCCCTCCTACACCCTCACCCCTGTCTCCTCCATACACCCTCACACACAGGACCCCCCTCTCCCTTCTACACCCTCACCCCTGTCTCCTCCATACACCCTCACACACAGGACCCCCCTCTCCCTCCTACACCCTCACCCCAGAACAGGAACAGGCTAAAGCAGAGGTAAATCTACTCACACCGTTATCTCCCCAAGCTAATGCCTAGGCTTAAGCTCAGTGGGCTAATTCAGTCTTGTGACATGCAGGACACTTGGGTACGAACCCAGTCTGTCACAGTAGCTCTGGGAATTAGCTGTGTACATCACCCCGGGGCATGCGTGTGATTTTAGATCTGTAGCATCCGTAACACCCTGCCCTTACCCTAACCCACTACAATATTGTATCATAATTTTCTACATTTACATTTTGGTCATTTAGCAGACTCTCTTATCCAAAGTGACTTACAATCGCCTTAACCACTCTAACCCTAACCCAGCATCATAATGTACAATTCACAACGCCCAGATCTAACCCTAATGATTGTCTATACATCACAGCAGCAGCAGAACCACCCTTCCATTAAACTACATTAAACACTCAGCAACCATCTTATTTGCTGTGGGAACTTCTGTGTACTAATCCAGTACGCTATCATTTGCATTTTTAATATCCCTATTTGGGTATAACATGTTTCTGTCAGAGGAAGTAAGAGTAGCCCCCAGGGACACACAGAGCTGAGAGTTTGGGGACAGAGCAGAACATTGCAGAGTAGAGCAGGGAAGCTAGAAGATTGAGAGGCTACAGGAGGCTGGTAGGTTGGGGACAGAGCAGAGCAGAACATTGCAGAGTAGAGCTGGGAGGTTGGGAGGCTAGGGGGCTGGGAGGCTAGGGGGTTGGGAGGCTAGGGGGTTGGGAGGTTGGGAGGCTAGGAGGATGGGAGGCTAGGGGGCTGGGCGGAATGGGAGGCTAGGGGGCTGGGAGGTTGCAAGGCAAGGGGCCTGGGAGGATGGGAGGGTGATGGGAGGCTAGGGGGTTGGAAGGTTGAGAGGCTGGGGGGCTGGGAGGATAGGGGGCTGGGAGGTTGGGAGGCTAGGTGGGGCTAGGGGACTGGGAGGATGGGAGGCTAGGGGACTGGGAGGATGGGAGGCTGGGAGGTTTGGGGCTTGGACGTGTTTCAGGAAGCAGAGTGCTGCTGTGTGACTGATGGCTCTGTAAAGATGAAATATCTGTAGCGTTTCTCTTTGTTGTAGCCTCAGGTCAAGCCTCGACTTTCACTGAGGTATGCAAGTGTTTGTGTGTGTGTGTGTGTGTTTTGTGTGTGTGTGTGACACATTAGTGTTGTTAGAAGTGAAGTATTGCTGTTTAAACTCTAAACCGTCAGTTTGGAGTGCAGCATGGAAACTTCACCGTCTACAAACCAAACAAAACTCACTTCAAACCAAACACCTCTCACACTGCTGCACATCATCTCACACCAAACTAAGGAAAATTGTTTTTAATGACTATCTTCCAGTATCTTGGATTTCATTCAAATGGGTGATTTAATGTATAATTTTATTTAAATAGGTTTAGTTTATTAAAACGATTTGTGTCAGTGCTGATAGTGGTCTCCTGTCCTGTTTGACTGGCTGTTGTGGGTTTGCTGCTAGTTTCTAATACTTCTCTATAATAAGTTGTTGATATCACACCATCACACCCATAGCTCTGTTCTCTGATTGGACCGGCTCATAATAGTGCATTCTGATTGGACCAGCCCATAGCAGTGTCTTCTGATTGGACCAGCCCATAACAGTGCTTACTGATTGGACCAGCCCATAGCAGTGTCTTCTGATTGGACCAGCCCATAACAGTGCCTTCTGATTGGACCAGTCCGTAGCAGTGTGAAATTAGAGAGGACTTGTGGCGACATGGAATGTTGAGGAGCTCCTCATGGTTCTCATGGCTGAGTTAAAGTTCCATCTGAAAACCATCATCACACTGAAGAGGAAAACTAAGCTCTCACATCTGGCAACCCTCCATACAGTTGCATGTGGGCACCGCCATGACTGAGGTATCCATGGTAACCACCACGGGCTGTCCAATCAGGAGGCTAGCCTGGCAGTGTCACATGAGGCGTGCTCAACGACAACACGGTGACCAGGAGAACAGTTTAATATCTTTGTAATTACATATACACCTCAGACTACATATAGACAATACACACACTACATATACACACTACAAACACTATATATAGACACTACATATACACACTACATATAGACACTACACACATTATATATTGACACTACACACACTACATATAGACAAACACACACTAAATATACACACTACACACACACACTTCATATACACCACATCAGGAGACCCTTTCGCTTCTAACCATGGGCGTATTCATTACGGACACCGTTTACCGTTTAAGAACCAAACGGAAGCAAACAGAGCAAAACTAGAGTTTCTTTTGGACAAATTCAGGTAGGTCCCTCCCCGTTTCATTCGGTTTGCTTCCATATACGAAACGTTTAACCTCAACCCCAGACTGGCCTAATATACTCATCAGGACCAGGCAGAGAAAGGAAGAACACACACACTCAATCAATCAATTCCATTTATTTATAAAGTCCTTTTTACATCAGTAGATTCACAAAGTGCTTATACAGAAACCCAGACTAAAACCCCAAAGAGCACGGTGGGATGAAAAAACTCCCTAGAAAGACAGGAACCAAGGAAGAAACCTAGAGAGGATCTGAGGGGTGGCGAGTCCTCTTCTGGCTGTGCCGGTGGAGGGGTGGCCCTTAAGGCTAGATTGTTCTTCAAGATGTTCAAGTGTTCATAGATGACCAGCAGGGTCAAATAATAATTACAGTGCTTATAGCGGGTGCAACAGGTCAGCACCTCAGGAGTAAATGTCAGTTGGCTTTTCATAGCCGAGTATTCAGAGTTCGAGACAGCAGGTGTGGTAGAGCGAGTGAGAGAGTGAGATGCATAGAGGGGGTCGAAACAGCAGGTCTGGGATAAGGTAGCAGGTCCGGTGAACAGGTCAGGGTTCCATAGCTGCAGGCAGAACATTCAGAAACTAAAATCAGCAGCACGATCAGGTGGACTGGGGAACGGGACACTGTGTGCCCCGTCCGACGAAACCCCCGGACAGGGCCAACCAGGCAGGATATAACCCTACCCACTTTGCCAAAGCACAGCCCCCACACCACCAGAGGGATATCAACAAACCACCAACTTACTACCCTGAGACAATGGCATGTATTCATGGGTGCCAAGGGAAGCCAGGCTTCCCCAAGACATTGACCAATAAATAGCATTGAATGCAAGGGAAGCCAGCGAGCATTTGGCCTCCCTTCATAAAAATTATACAATAATAGCCAATCAGCGTTGAGCTAAACTGAGTGAGCTCAACTGTGAATGGTCCTGGCGCACCCAAAAAAAGTGTCAAGGGAAGCCAGTTTGGATTTGGCTTCACACCAATCACTTCACATCAAGCCAAACATCATTGACCGAAAAAAACTTGAATTGTTGCTTCTCGTTGTGTTGTGCCTCTGGCCTGAGAGGATGGAAGTTCAATATATAGCTAGATGTAGTAGGCTAATGTTAACTAGCTGGCTAATCGTTGCCCATGAAAGGAAGTTAGGCTAGCGAGCAAGAACTTTAGCCAGGTAGCCTAGGACAACAAAAACTAAAAGCGTGTACTGTATGGCAGAGTCATAGACTGTTTCGGCAACATGAAAGAGAGGAGGATGGCATTGGCGTTTTTTTACAGCCACATGATATTTCGCTTACGTTGATTGGACTAAATCGTTTTTTGGAATCTTTTAGTTGTCACTGTATTAGACTAAGCATAGGTGATTTGATGATGTTGAAATGTTGAAGTTGAAATGGTGCTGGAATAGTGGAGGCAGCTCCCGTTTTCTTTGCAACTTGCGGTAACTCTCCGGTATTCTAAATCAATAGTTGTTTAGTAGTCCTAAAATTTCAGAAACATTAACTTGATTGACCGTGCTGTAGGTCATGTAACTGTTTGTTATATGCAATATGCTTTGTGGACTCCACCAGACAGATGTTTCTCTCTGGTTTTGTGATGAAACAAAGGTGTGGTTGAATTTATTCTGCCACTGTGTCTTCTTATTGTCTCGGCCTATATACAGTGAGGGAAAAAAGTATGTCAAAAATGTTATAAATGTATTTGCATTTTAATGAGGGAAATAAGTATTTGACCCCTCTGCAAAACATGACTTAGTACTTGGTGGCAAAACCCTTGTTGGCAATCACAGAGGTCAGACGTTTCTTGTAGTTGGCCAACAGGTTTGCACACATCTCAGGAGGGATTTTGTCCCACTCCTCTTTGCAGATCTTCTCCAAGTCATTAAGGTTTCGAGCCTGACGTTTGGCAACTCGAACCTTCAGCTCCCTCCACAGATTTTCTATGGGATTAAGGTCTGGAGACTTGCTAGGCCACTCCAGGACCTTAATGTGCTTCTTCTTGAGCCACTCCTTTGTTGACTTGGCCGTGTGTTTTGGGTCATTGTCATGCTGGAATACCCATCCACGAACCATTTTCAATGCCCTGGCTGAGGGAAGGAGGTTCTCACCCAAGATTTGACGGTACATGGCGCCGTCCATCGTCCCTTTGATGCGGTGAAGTTGTCCTGTCCCCTTAGCAAAAAAACACCCCCAAAGCATGTTTCCACCTCCATGTTTGACAGTGGGGATGATGTTCTTGGGGTCATAGGCAGCATTCCTCCTCCTCCAAACATGGCGGGTTGAGTTGATGCCAAAGAGCTCGATTTTGGTCTCATCTGACCACAACACTTTCACCCAGTTCTCTCTGAATCATTCAGATGTTCATTGGCAAACTTCGGACGGGCCTGTATATGTGCTTTCTTGAGCAGGGGGACCTTGCGGGCGCTGCAGGATTTCAGTCCTTCATTGCGAAGAGTGTTACCAATTGTTTTCTTGGTGACTATGGTCCCAGCTGCCTTGAGATCATTGACAAGATCCTCCCGTGTAGTTCTGGGCTGATACCTCACCGTTCTCATGATCATTGCAACTCCACGAGGTGAGATCTTGCATGGAGCCCCAGGCAGAGGGAGATTGACAGTTATTTTGTGTTTCTTCCATTTGCGAATAATCGCACCTACTGTTGTCACCTTCTCACCAAGCTGCTTGGCGATGGTCTTGTAGCCCATTCCAGCCTTGTGTAGGTCTACAATCTTGTCCCTGTCATCCTTGGAGAGCTCTTTGGTCTTGGCCATGGTGGAGAGTTTGGAATCTGATTGATTGATTGCTTCTGTGGACAGGTGTCTTTTATACAGGTAACAAGCTGAGATTAGGAGCACTCCCTTTAAGAGTGTGCTCCTAATCTCAGCTCGTTAACTGTATAAATGACACCTGGGAGCCAGAAATCTTTCTGATTGAGAGGGGGTCAAACACTTATTTCCCTCATTAAAATGCAAATCAATTTATAACATTTTTGACATGATTTTTTGGTTGTTATTCTGTCTCTCACTGTTCAAATAAACCTACCATTAAAATTATAGACTGATCATTTCTTTGTCAGTGGGCAAACGTACAAAATCAGCAGGGGATCAAATACTTTTTTTCCCTCACTGTATCATGGTCGCAAGGCATATGAACTACCAGGTTATAGAGCAAACAACACAATTATTACAACACATAGGTTGTAATATGGCTTTTTTTTCCTGGCTTGGCTTCCCCAGTGAATTTACCCATGCACCGCTACTGCCCTGAGACAAGGCGGAGCATAGACCACGATGATCTCCCCCAGCACACGAGCCCGAGGGGGTGCAAGACCGGACAGGAAGAAAACGTCAGTAACTCAACCCACTCAAGACGAGTATAGCCAAAAAAGCCTGGCATGACGTGATGCACCCCTCCTAGGGACAGCATGGGAGAGCACTAGCAAGCCAGTGACTCAGCCCCGTAATAGGGTCAGAGGCACAAACACACACACCAAGGCCTCCCTACATAGAGCAGAGTGAGGACTATATTAGCGGCAGTGTCGCCCTCCCAGACAGGAAGTTAGTCTGTCAGAAACAGGAAGCTGACCTGAGAGGAGTCTGATGAAATGCTCTGCTGGAATGTTGCATGCTGGGTCACCAAAGTAACCTAAGCCTTGTGTGTACCCCGCAGTTCTCCCCTGTACCCCGCAGTTCTCCCCCCTCACACATCCTCCCCCGCCCCACCTCATCCCCTCCGCTTTTCTCTCACATAACTTCTCTAACAGATCTCTGTCTGTCTGTCTGTAGGGAGGACCTACAACGATCTGAACCAGTACCCCGTGTTTCCCTGGGTTCTCACCAACTATGAGTCCGAGGAGCTGGACCTCACCCTGCCGGGCAACTTCAGAGATCTCTCCAAGGTACTGACATTCTGTTATACAACCTGTAGGACTGGGGGAAAGGGGGCAGGAGGGGGAAGGAAGGGGGAAGGAGAGGAAAGGAGGGGACATGGGGGAGGAGGAGTGGTGAGGGTCTCAGTCAGCAGGGGAATTTCCTTATTAAGTCCCATGCAGGCTGGAAGAGAAAACCATCTTGACTGAGAAATAATGCAGACATCATAATGCAGACATCATGTGCTCAGTCTGAACCCAGCGCTGGAATGTAGAGAAGGAGCTGATAGTTTAACATCATAGCAGATCCTAACACTGGAATACCACATATTCTGAGTCCCAAATGGCACCCTATTCACTATATAATGCACTACTTTTGACCAGGCCCAATAGGGCTCTGGTCAAAAGTAGTGCATTAAATAGGGAATAGGGTGCCATTTGGGAGGCAAACATGACATCCTAACAGATCCCAACACTGGAATAGAAGCTTTAAGTGTCTCTGCTATGTTTGGTACTGTATCGCCTCAGCACATAAACTGAATGTTCTAGTGTCTCTGCTCTGTTTGACATGGTACTGTCCTCGACCATCAACTGTAGGATAGTTTTTAGTGTCTGTATGATGAGGGCTTCTGGCCCTGTTTAACTTCCTAGCAGCTCTCTCTCTCTTTATCGCTCTCTTTCTCTCTCTCTCTCTCTCTCTCTCTACAACTCACAGGCTCACTGACCTGAAAACAATCGCATTCCTGTCTGAGCTTTCCTTCTCTCTCACTCTATCGCTCCCTCCTTACCCCGTTCCCTCTCCCCCTCAAAGTGCCGACTCCCTGACTCTATCTGAGCTCCGTTTTCACAAACGTTTTTGATCAATTCTCACCTCAGATCCCAGACAAATGTTTGCTAGGGAGGGAGGGAGGGAGGGTATGAGGGAAAAGAAGGGAGGCAGGGAGGGAAGGAGGGAAACGCAGGAAGGGGGGAAGGAATGTATGGAAATGAGAGAGGTTGCTGAACTCTCAATGAAAATTTGAATTAGAAATACCCACAACTAAAGCACCCTGGTAGGCATGTGTACTGATAACGTCAGTGAATACCCTTCCCTCCTAACAGTAGTCTGTAAGGTTAATCTCTGCACTTGGTTTATACCAGTTTCACCCAGCCAGTCAATAAAGTCACTGTGTGAAAATTTCTACTCAGCCCTGTTGTAACTGAAAAAGACAACATTTGGTTTGAGTTGTTCAGGTAAGTAGTATAGTGGGTGATCCAGTATAATCCAGTGTTCACTCTGGCAGAAGGTCTACAGTAAGACACACACACACACACACACACACACACACACACACACACACACACACACACACACACACACACACACACACACACACACACACACACACAGCTTTCCTGTGTCTTCCTGCTGTTGTTTCTGCTCTTGTCACCCTGTGGCGGCTTCAGTCTGTACACAACCAGGTGGGCCGTGTGTGTTTGTCTGAGAGAGCCCGAGCCCTCTGGCATGGGGTAGACAGTTATGTATTGTAATGTATTCCAGTGACATCCTCCCATGCTGTTTACAGGCTGAGCTGCCTTCATTACCATGAGTTCACAGGCCTCTGTCTCCTGACAGTTGTCCTTGGAACCCCAGGGCTCACACACGCACACACACACACGCACGCACGCACGCATACACACGCACAGACACCTCCAACTCCAGGGCTTCTACCTCCAGAGGTACCAGCTAGTAAAGAATTGGAATGAAGGGGCTTGAGTTCTCCAATATATAAACAGATTAGACAAAGAGCAGGCGTGAGAGGAAATAGGGAGGAACTCAGAGAGAGACTGTAAGTCTTCTGAACAGAGTCATGTAAAACCACCTTACTCTGAAACACAAACATCTTGTGCTTCCCAAGTGGCACCCTATTTCCTATATAGTGCTCTACTTTTGACCGGGCCCTATAGGGTGCTGGTCAAAAGTAGTACACTATGTAGGGAATACGGTTCCATTTGGGAAGCTGCCATCCAGCGATATTTTGTCCTCTGACTGAGCTGCTCACGCCATGGGGTCAGTTGACTACCAATCAGGAAGTGGGTGCCAGTACCAGCAGGCTAAATGTCCTATAGCTCCTGGATAATACACCACTTAATCCTCTCACACACCTACTTTAATGCGCTACACACACCTACACACACCTGCAATTTACCTGCTGATCAGCCAGCCAGTCATCCGTGTTAAATCCAACTGAACAGGGTGTTCTCTGCCTCAGGGCCACAGTGGAGCATTCTTACTGTCAGATCACAGGCCTGTGGAGCACACACACAACCACACACACACACCCTCCATGTGAGCGGTACAGTGGTGTGGTGGAGCAGTTCATTAGGTTTTAATGATTATTTCCTGCTGACTGACAGGTGGCTGATGGGAAAGGGAAGCTCATCTCCTCATAGCTGTTAGTTGATGGAGTGGAAACGCATATAACCCTATATGAAGACATACTGAGTGTGCTCTGCTTAACAATCTAGATGTTTATCACGGCTCTTGTTCTACCTGCTTTTGTGTGTCTCTGATAGGAAGTGATGTGATGTGACTCTGTCAAAACTTCTCTCAGGGAGAAACAGCCAAAGCTGTGAAGTGACAGCAGACATATGTACCTGATGTACTTTACCTCATAGCTACTGTTATGAAACGGAGAGGGAGTGGGAGCTTGTCCATGGTGGTCTTCGAACCCGCAACCTTATGAACCAGAGCCCTTCACGTTTTCGATGGCTAGCACCCTTGGAAAAGTCTATATATTTACATTTTAGTCATTTAGCAGATGCTCTTATCTAGAGCGAAAATGCATCAATTTTCTTACTTTTTCGTACTGGTGCCCCGTGGGAATCGAACCTACAACTCAGGCGTTGCAAGTGCCATGCTCTACCAACTGAGCCACACAGGACCATAATGTGCACATATATGTGCTTATGAATTCAGGGTCGCTACACTATTATGCTGTGTTTACCATTGTGACGTTACATTAATTCGCTTCTCTGCTTAGTTGCTAGTAGCAAATCCTATTCATGTTTTTAAAAGAGTTAACAAAAGTTGCTGCTGAAAAGTTTATTGTTTATGTTGTAGTGAAAGTTAGCAATGTAGCTAGCTAGCTGCGCAGCCACACTCTCATAGACAACTCTGGAAATGTAGTGGTGCTAATTGTGTATATCACCCTTTACTGTATCAATGTTTTATAGACTGCAACCGAACTTCAGAAAACCTATACCATGAGAGAAACCACCCAAACAAAGAACTCTGAAGAACTAGATTGTAGCTGTTCAAGGTGATTCTTCTGACAAGCCCAGAGAGAAAACGTGTGTCTCCTCGGGAGGTAGCCTAGATATTACCACACAAACCACAACACTTTCTCTTTCTCTGTGTTCCACACACTCGCATGCACACACACACACATACACACACGCTCCTCTTGGATCCTCCACTTTGGGGTCTCTGCTCTCTGCAGTCAGAGAATGATCCTAATTACATGTGATGAGTGGTTTATCTAGTGTAGCATGTGACAGCCCTATAATCCAGCAGCTAGGTTTGATCATGTCTTGTTTGGTGGTGCAGGTAGATATCACTAGGTCAGGTATTATTCATGGGAGTGAACTCAGAAGGAGGTAAATGCAGAGCTGTCTAAAGCACTTGTTTTTATTGTCTCCTTATCATGTCCTGTATTTACATAACCACCTGAGAAAAGGGAGCTGATGATTACTGTGTGTTAGAGGAATGGTAGAGAAAAAAGTTTGTTGTCAGTACTCTACCCCACTAACCAGCCACGGAATGGAGTCCCATATGGCACCCAATTCCCTATGTAGTGCACAACTTTTGACCAGGACCCTATATCCCTATCTCCCACCCAGTATCTATTAGCATCCAACATTAGCAACATGGTTCCATCAATTAAGCTTAAGTAACTTAGTTGCTAGTAGAATCAACACACCTAACATGCCTGGTTGCTTTAAAGTGTGTTTATGTCAAGAAATCAATGAAATACCACGTTGTGGCAAAGTTAGCTAGGTAGCTAGCTGTCACACATCAACAACAGAGAAGGTCAGAGTATAACCAGAAATGGATGTTGTTTTGTTTGAGTGAACTAGCCAAACGTTTTTTACCCAAATGGCACCCTATAGACCATGGTCAAAAGTAGTATACTATAAAGGGAATAGGGTGCCAGGTTGCTGGTGCTGCATGCATATGAAAGGCTTAGCGCTTTAGAATGACCTTATGGCCACTTAAGACCCAACATTATCTACCATGTTAACAGCTTTTTAATGTCTTACTAATGAGCTAGTTTAGCAGGCTAAAGCCCCCATATATTTTTATAGGTTACGAGCTGTCTGTGAGGGTGACAGAAGAAGCCTGTAAGATGTAATAGACAAGACACACTATAACCAACATCAGCCGTGCGCAGTAAATCACCTTCTGTGTGTCAACGAATGGTGGCGATTCAACATGTAGAATAGTCTGGAAATGAACAGAAAATGACGGCCGATGTTCTGTGGCGATATGACGTCCACCTGCTGCTTTTAACCATTTGTCAGCGCTGTTTTATCCTTAAGATACGACATCCATCTTGCTGCTGGGTTTAGTGGAAATATTCATATTGACAGTCTCTTTGTGTTTGGGGTTCTTAGCTAGCTATCAGGCCACGTTAGCTGTGAGACCACGTTAGCTATGAAACCATGTTACCTGTGAGACCATGTTAGCTATGAGACCATGTTAGCTATGAGACCACGTTAGCAGTGAGACCATGTTAGCTGTGAGACCATGTTAGCTGTGAGACCACGTTAGCTGTGAGACCACGTTAGATATGAGACCATGTTAGCTGTGAGACCATGTTAGCTATGAGAACATGTTAGCTGTGAGACAATGTTAGCTATGAGACCATGTTAGCTTTGAGAACATGTTAGCTGTGAGACCATGTTAATTGGTTGTCAGACCCGGGTTGAAATCCAGTCTGTCCTATTAGCTGTCTGTGCTGTCCAGCTGCAGCTATGATTGGGCTAAGCTGACTGAGACCAGACTGGTTCCTCCTGGACTTTTAACAGCCTGTCTGACTTCCTGTAGCCCACAGCCCAATCACAGCCGGCCCCAGACGTCACATGACAGCCTATTATCACCCCGTAAATCTCAGCCGATCTCCATAAACTTCTCTTTCATTCTCCCTCATCGTGCTAGCATCGATGTTGACGGTCATTATGTTGGAGAGGAAAGAAAGGAACGTAGAAGGAAACCAGACATGACCAGTTGGTTTGGAGTGAGAGAGTTGAGCGGTAGTCAAACATTCCTAATAATGCCATATGTTCTTTGCCACATAGAGGGAGGTATGGGCTGTGGGAACATAATGAAGATGACGAAACAGTCTACGCTGCATCTCATATGGAACCCTATTCACTATACATGTAATCCAGGGCCCTCTAGTGCACTATACAGTGGGGGAAAAAAGTATTTAGTCAGCCACCAATTGTGCAAGTTCTCCCACTTAAAAAGATGAGAGAGGCCTGTAATTTTCATCATAGGTACACGTCAACTATGACAGACAAAATGAAGAAAAACATTCCAGAAAATCATATTGTAGGATTTTTTATGAATTTATTTGCAAATTATGGTGGAAAATAAGTATTTGGTCAATAACAAAAGTTTCTCAATACTTTGTTATATACCCTTTGTTGGCAATGACACAGGTCAAACGTTTTCTGTAAGTCTTCACAAGGTTTTCACACACTGTTGCTGGTATTTTGGCCCATTCCTCCATGCAGATCTCCTCTAGAGCAGTGATGTTTTGGGGCTGTCGCTGGGCAACACAGACTTTCAACTCCCTCCAAAGATTTTCTATGGGGTTGAGATCTGGAGACTGGCTAGGCCACTCCAGGACCTTGAAATGCTTCTTACGAAGCCACTCCTTCGTTGCCCGGGCGGTGTGTTTGGGATCATTGTCATGCTGAAAGACCCAGCAACGTTTCATCTTCAATGCCCTTGCTGATGGAAGGAGGTTTTCACTCAAAATCTCACGATACATGGCCCCATTCATTCTTTCCTTTACACGGATCAGTCGTCCTGGTCCCTTTGCAGAAAAACAGCCCCAAAGCATGATGTTTCCACCCCCATGCTTCACAGTAGGTATGGTGTTCTTTGGATGCAACTCAGCATTCTTTGTCCTCCAAACACGACGAGTTGAGATTTTACCAAAAAGTTATATTTTGGTTTCATCTGACCATATGACATTCTCCCAATCCTCTCCTTGATCATCCAAATGCACTCTAGCAAACTTCAGACGGGCCTGGACATGTACTGGCTTAAGCAGGGGGACATGTCTGGCACTGCAGGATTTGAGTCCCTGGCGGCGTAGTGTGTTACTGATGGTAGGCTTTGTTACTTTGGTCCCAGCTCTCTGCAGGTCATTCACTAGGTCCCCCCGTGTGGTTCTGGGATTTTTGCTCACCGTTCTTGTGATCATTTTGACCCCACGGGGTGAGATCTTGCGTGGAGCCCCAGATCGAGGGAGATTATCAGTGGTCTTGTCTGTCTTCCATTTCCTAATAATTGCTCCCACAGTTGATTTCTTCAAACCAAGCTGCTTACCTATTGCAGATTCAGTCTTCCCAGCCTGGTGCAGGTCTACAATTTTGTTTCTGGTGTCCTTTGACAGCTCTTTGATCTTGGCTATAGTGGAGTTTGGAGTGTGACTGTTTGAGGTTGTGGACAGGTGTCTTTTATACTGATAACAAGTTCAAACAGGTGCCATTAATACAGGTAACGAGTGGAGGACAGAGGAGCCTCTTAAAGAAGAAGTTACAGGTCTGTGAGAGCCAGAAATCTTGCTTGTTTGTAGGTGACCAAATACTTATTTTCCACCATAATTTGCAAATAAATTCATTAAAAATCCTACAATGTGATTTTCTGGATTTTCTTTTCTCATTTTGTCTATCATAGTTGACGTGTACCTATGATGAAAATTACAGGCCTCTCTCATCTTTTTAAGTGGGAGAACTTGCACAATTGGTGGCTGACTAAATACTTTTTTTCCCCACTGTATAGGGAATAGAATGCTGTTATAGAATGTTGTAACACTCTCATAACTCTAGCCATGGGAATACTGGAGTAACGGCACAATCTTAATGATTTGATATTTCAAGTGATTTTATTTTTAGTTGTTGGTCTCTCCACTAGCTGCAGCTCGTCTGAATCAAGGGCTTTGCTGGGGTAGATTTCCCATGATTCCTGTGGTCAATCCGAGATATGGCCGCTGCGCACACACAAACACACACACACACACACACACACACACACACACACACACACACACACTGGCTCTATAGCACTGAGTGTATTAATATTGACTGCCAATGTACCTGTGTGTACCTGTTGGCCAGGGTGATTGAAAAGGCAGAGAAAGCTATTTAACCTCCACTAAATGTATTTTAATGGGCTAATTAGATTGCCTTTAAAAAACACATGAGAAAGCAAAGGCATAATATTGGCGTAGGGCCCATACCAAATGGCATCCTATTACCTACAGAGTGCACTACTTTTGACCAGAGCCCTATGGGCCCTGGTCAAAAGTAGTGCACTATATTGGGAATGGGTTGCTATTTGGGACACAGTCTTGGTGTATTACAGAGAGGCTGGGACCCAGAATGTAATATTGACTTGGCCTCTGTTCCAGAAGAGTGAAACACGCTGTCAAAGGCCAACATTTGGGTTGTAAAGTAATGTATTTCTTGTTTTATCCATTGATCAGCTAATTACTGTAATATCAATAGCAGGCCTTACTAAACTCCTGGAAGGCTGTGGTGTTTTTTTACCATGACAACATGGTGGGACACATTAAATTGTCTCATTTGGCCTGGGGGCCGTGTGTTTGACCAGCCTGCTCTAGGAGCTGCCTGTCTGCGAAGTCTTAAACATCAGTTATATACTGAACATCATATACTCTATCTACTTTATGTAACTTCTTGTCTTCCTGTTTCTCCCTTAGCCAATCGGAGCGTTGAACCCGAAGCGTGCAGTGTTCTATGCAGAGCGCTACGAGACGTGGGAAGAGGACCAGACCCCCCCATATCACTACAACACCCACTACTCCACCGCTAACTCCACCCTGCTCTGGCTGCTCAGGATAGTACGTACTCTATACCCCATCCACCCAATACCCTATTCCCTGTACCCTATACCCAGAAAAGGGGTGGTTGATAAAAAAGATATAGGTCCAGGGGCTTCAGGAGTGGCGCAGCGGTCTAAGTCACTGCATCGCAGTGCTAAAGGCGTCAGTACAGACCAGGGGTTCGATCCGGGGCTGTATCACAACCGGCCGTGATCGGGAGTCCCATAGGGCGGCGCACAATTGGCCCAGCGTCGTCCGGGTTAGGGGAGAGTTTGGCCGGGGAGGCTTTACTTGGCTCATCATGCTCTAGCGACTCCTTGTGGTGGGCTGGGCGCCTGCAGGCTGACTTTGATCGTCAGTTGAACAGTGTTTCTTCCGAGACATTGGTGCGGCTGGCATCCGGGTTAAGTGTGCGGGTGTTAAGAAGCGCGGTTTGGCGGGTCATGTTTCGGAGGACGAATGACTCAACCTTCACCTCCCGAGCCCGTTGGGCAGTTGCAGCGATGAGACAAGATAGGAATTGGAGAGAAAAAGGGGGTAAAATACAACAAGAAAAAAATTAATATATATAGGTCCATTATCATTTCTACATACTTTCAATCTGATTTTAGACGTTCGAGTGTAGACGTAAGTCGTTTTTTATCCTAAATAATATTTTCAAAATGGCAGCTAGTAAGTTAGTTAGATAGTAAGTCACACAATCTATACTGTTGAAAGGACATTGATACCACCTAGTGTTTAGTAAATACCAGTGGAATCCAAATGGTGGCCATATTTGATATGTTAGGTAGCTCGTTAATTGGAGAAAGCTTGATGGGGAGTTAGTAGCATCCCCCCCGTTCTCCCTTTGCCAGCCACTCTCCTCCTCCTCTCCTCCTCCTCTCCCCCTCCTCTCCCCCTCGTTAGCAGAGGGGCTGGTGAATTAGAATAGTTCCTCTGACAGCACTTACACCACTCCTCACTACCTACACTCCTCCTCTCCTCCATCTCTCCTCCTCTCCTCTCTACATCCCTCCATCAGAAAACTGTCTCCATCTCAGACTGTAAACACCACATGCAGTATCAGCCAATTAGCACCGTCGCTCCCGGCGACCAGGAAGCACAGTAATTAATACTCCCTATGGCATTGTGGGTAATGTACAGTAGGGGAGGACAGACAGACAGACAGACAGACAGACAGACAGACAGACAGAAAGACAGAAAGACAGACATTTGTCTGGCACAGGAACCTCACATACACAGACACAGAAACACATCATAGATGCGGTAAAGAGGTCAATGGAACTCCACCCAAACAATGGAAATGCCATGGAAATGCATGGGGGAAAGATGCCGTGGGGGAAAGATCCCGAATCTCCTCATTGCCCCCCAGCAAAATTAGCCTACAGTTAGGCTATTGTTTATATGTGTATTGTGTACTTTTAAATGTTATGCAGCGAAAACAGCAAAATATATCAAAATCGTACTTTAGTAATCACATTGTGGGCCTGTTACAATACATCAATCATAACAAATTTGACGAATATCCACTTTGTTAGATCAGATTTGTTGAATGTGCAACAGTCCGGAGTCCTTCTTCTATCCCCCACGGTCTGCGTTCCATTGACCTCTTTACCGCATTTATGGTTCCAATAAGAGACATTCTCATTGTCCTTTCTCTCTGTCACAACCAGCAGAATTCTGAAATTATTCATTCTGAACACACATTAGAAAATCTAGTTCACTGAGAGTATGGTTTGGTATGGTGGTGTTATGTGTGTTCTGATGTTTTTGTGTGTGTGTGTCCATGAAACATCCTTTGCTCAACGTAAAATGTGTGTGTGTTTTCTCTTGCAGGAGCCTTTCACCACGTTCTTCCTGAATGCTAACAACAACAAGTTTGACCATCCAGACCGGACCTTCTCAGCCATCACCCGCTCCTGGAGGCACTGCCAGAGAGACACCTCAGACGTCAGGGTGTGTTTCTTTGTGTCACTCTGTGTGCGTGCGTGCATGTATGTGTGTGTCCATGAAACAACCTATGCTCAAGTAAAATACTCTGTATCTGTATCTACGGTGGGTCTGATGCGTTCTCTGTTCATCGGTATTCAACCCAGAAGGAAACACCACAATAAAATATATACCATGAATTATAAATAACATTGTGCTCAAACTGAGGAACAGAGACAGGGTACACAGTGCATGACTAAAGCACTTACAAATACATACTTGATTTACCTCTTATAAACAACATTACTTTAAAAAGAAAGGAGTGCTGTACTGTATGTGAACAGAGGCTGAAGACAAAGAAAGAAAGAAATCCTTCTCCTTCCTTCCTCAGAGACGGAGAAGCAGTCAAAGGTTGTGTCCCAAATGGCAACCTATGGGCACTGGTCAAAAGTAGTGCACTATATAGAGAATAGGGTGCCATTTGGGACGCAGCCAGAGAAACGCTGAACCACCACCACGGTCACTCTGTAACACAGCGGGAGCAGCTCTGACCTCAAAGTGTCAGATATTTCTAGAACACCCTGCGTCGGGTTAGTGTTGCCCCAGGCAATTAATAAAGCATTAATGACAAAAGCTATTTAAAATGTAGTGTTTTATGTCCGGACAGGGCTTTTCCTGGGCTCAGCTTGGGGAGGAGGGGGAGAGAGCAGCACACCAGCCAACATGCCCTGTTAACAAATACATGCTACTTTAAACTACTTGTATGTCTGTCTGTTTGTTGAAACACACAGAACATGGCTGCTGGTCTATCAGCACGAAGGAGAGAGAGAGAGACAAGATATTACAACAGCAGCTGTGTTTCATTATATATTAGTAACAGGAATTATTCTGCTAAATTGTTTCATCTACACACACAGTTCTACCTACACACACACAGTTCTACCTACACACACACAGTTATACCTACACACACACAGTTCTACCTACACACACACAGTTCTACCTACACACACACAGTTCTACCTACACACACACACAGTTATACCTACACACACACACACACAGTTCTACCTACATACACACAGGTTTACCTACGTACACACAGTTTTACACACATACACACAGTTACTACATACACACGGTTTTACCTATGGACACAGTTACCTACATACACAAAGTGTTACCTACATTATGACAAAGAGTACAGGACCGGGGGAGTAGGAGGGGGGCCTTAGCAGGGGTGAGCTGACCACCTACAAGAGCAAGTCAATGTGGAGCGACCTTGTACCAGCACCCCCCCCCCCCCCCCCCCCTCCTCCCCTTCACAATACATTTTTTAACAGTGCTGCTAATCCATTTCTCTGTGTCCCCACTAGTGTGTGTGTGTCATGCCCATGCTTGCCTGTGTGTGTGAAAGAGGGAGAGGCAGACTTGTCTATGAGTAGTCAACAGTCCCAGTAACCCCCCAGAACGCTGCCAGTGTGTCACCTGAAGGGATCCAGCAGCATCTAATATAGCTAATACTATGGAGGCTATTAGCTATCTATGCAGCCTGTTAGCTATCTATGGAGGCTGTTCACTATCTATGGAGGCTCTTAGCTATCTATGGAGGCTATTAGCTATCTATGGAGGCTATTAGCTATCTATGGAGGCTGTTCACTATCTATGGAGGCTGTTAGCTATCTATGGAGGCTATTAGCTATCTATGGAGGCTGTTAGCTATCTATGGAGGTTGTTAGCTATCTATGGAGGCTGTTAGCTATCTATGGAGCCTGTTGGCAAACTATGGAGCCTGTTGGCAATCTATGGAGCCTGTTAGATATCTATGGAGCCTGTTAGCTACCTATGGAGGCTCTTAGCTATCTATGGAGGCTATTAGCTATCTATGGAGGCTGTTAGCTATCTATGGAGGCTGTTAGCTATCTATGGAGGCTGTTAACTATCTATGGAGGCTCCTAGCTATCTATGGAGGCTATTAGCTATCTATGGAGGCTGTTAGCTATCTATGGAGGCTGTTAGCTATCTATGGAGCCTGTTTGCTATCTATGGAACTTGTTAGCTATCTATGGAGCTTGTTAGCTATCTATGGAGCCTGTTAGCTATCTATGGAGGGTCTGTGATTGACTTGTTCAGCCCATTAACAGGCTGTTGCTGTTTTAATGGCTGACAGGGGAGCTGGGCTCAAAACGGAGCTGGCAGCTTTAACGGCTTGGTGCTGAGTTATGACAGGGAAGTTTACAAATAGAGAGAGTAAGGAGGGAGACGGAGGGAGGGAGGGAGGGAGGGAGGGAGAGGGTTGGAGGGGAAGAGAGTGAGGGAGAGAGAGGACCGAGAAAGAGATAGACAGAGAGAGAGATAAAGAGTTTGGGGAGGGAGGGAGGAACAGCCTCCAGTGTTGTGGTCAGTCAGATGGTGAAATGTGACCAACAGCAGACAGTGTTTTATTGGGGTGTTTCCTGTCATGCCACCTTCCTCTCTAAACCCTGATCTACCATCCTAAAGCCCTGCCTGTTACCCTCCTGTAGATAAACTCCCACAGGCCTGGTAAAAACCAACAGCATCACAGAACACGACAAGCACTGCTTTCATAAAACAGCCCTCATACTAGCACTGAACCAGCTAGGAGGCCCAGCACATTGTAAACACACACATACACAGTCACTGACACACACACACACACACACATGCATGCACACACAAACACAAAGTCACCCCCCACACATACGCACACATGCATGCACACACACACGCACACACTGCACACACACCTGACACACACACAAACACATGCACCTCCTGACACACACAGGCCTAGACAGACAGAGTTTAAATGGTTTTAAATGGTTTTCTAATGAGGGCTCTGACAGAGAGAGGAGGGAGGCGCCACATTCCTGTTGTGCACATGGTCCAATGTACAGAGGCATCTGTCAGAGAGAGAGGAGCGGAGAGAAGATAGGAGTGGCGTTGAGTGGAGGGGAGGAGAGGAGGCTCTGTGATTGGCTAAAGCAGTGGCCACCAACTGGTCGATCTTCAAGGCCTTGCGATCCTTTACAAAAAAATGGTCTTGCACGGTTGGCGATAGATGTACTTGAGTCCGCTGGGACTAAAATAGTGTAAAAATATTTTGCTGTGACTCTTATGTGGATGATGTTAAAAATATTTGTTGGTCTGATGTGATTAATAAGGAGCATCCAGACACTGCACTTGATGAATTTATGAAGTTGCTTCTTCCAGTTATTGATAAACATGCACCTGTTAAGAAACTGACTGTTAGAACTGTTAAGGCTCCATGGATTGATGAGGAATTGAAAAACCGTATGGTTGAAAGAGATGGGGCAAAATGAGTGGCTAATAAGTCTGGCTGCACATCTGACTGGCTGACTTACTGCAAATTGAGAAATTATGTGACTAAACTCAACAAAAAGAAGAATAAACTGTATTATGAAACCAAGATCAATGATATAAAAAACTTTGGAGTACTTTAAATGAAATTATGGGCAGAAAGACAAGTTAAACTCCATCTTAGATCGAATCAGATGGCTTATTCATCACAAAACCATTTGATGTTGCAAATTATTTTAATGATTACTTAATTGGCAAAGTGGGCAAACTTAGGCAGGAAATGCCAACAACATTGAGCCATCGTACTCATGCAAGTTTGAATTGCAAGTTAGAATTTTGCATTGCAAGTTTGAAAGCATTGCAAGTTAAAATTTTGTAAAGTTAGTATAGGAGAGGTGGAAAGATCATTGTTATCTATCAATAATGACAAACCTCCTGGCATTTAAAACTTAGATGGAAAGCTTCTGAGGGTGGTAACTCCTATCTGTCATATCTTTTATCTGAGCCTAGAGGAAAGTCTGTCCTCAGGCCTGGAGGGAAGCCAATGTCATTCTGCTACCCAAGAGTGGGAAAGTGGCCTTTACTGGTTCTAACAGCAGACCTGTAAGCTTGCTGCTAGCTCTTAGCAAACTGTTGGAAAAATTGTGTTTGACCAAATACAATGCTATTTCTCTGTAAACAAATTAACAACAGACTTTCAGCATGCTTATAGAGAAGAGCAGTCAACATGTACTGCACTGACACAAATGGCTGATTATTGGTTGAAAGAAATGGATAATAAGAAGATTGTGGGAGCTGTACTGTTAGATTTCAGTGAATAATTTAATATTATTGACC